GACGCTGGCTGTCCCCGGGCTCTGAGGGGGTCCAGGCGAGGACAAAGCGGACGTGCCAGAGAGGCTGACAAAATCACCCCCCTTGTTAGCAGTTAAACGGTTTTTCCAAACTAACAGCTGTGGATATGGGAGAGATCACCCATAAAATGGGGTTGTGACTCAATATTGCATCACCTTTCCAAGCAGGGCCTGGTGAGGTTGGGCTGGAGCTGTCGGCTCGTTTGCACCATCTATTCAGTCCTTCCCTTCAGATTATTCTTTCCATGATAAACCAGATTTCCATGTTTTTAAACCTGCAGTGCGGCTGGGGGAGTGATCCTGATTGTGCATACGAGCTGCTGAGAAGGGATAAAATTCAGAGCTGAATGCCACTGGAGTTCTTATTTACATTTTTGATTTCCATCAGAATAAATGGAGTTTAAGAACTGCTTAGAGTTAATCAGCTGCTTAATCGTCTCTTGCTGTTAGAGGCCTCTTACAAAGTTTCATAAGCAGCAAAACCCCACCGCATTAGTGTTCCTGAAAAGTGGGTCTTAAAACGGCAGCTTCAGTGTTTCTTGAAAATACTTGCTGATGCTGATGTTTCTCTGGAGAGGAGGTGAGTACGCACATGCGCAGAGGTTTTTGTAAGATGGGACTGACGGATGGATCGCGGACTGATGGGTTTGTGTGTGTGAGAGGTTAGCACAATGATAATAAAATGCAGCATTTGGTAGAGAACTTATTTGAGCATTTAGCACAGTAGCTGAGTGTTCACAAACTCTAAAAGTCTAGGTTATGAAATTTCAGTAACTCTGCTCTGCAAGATCTTGTAAGATGAAAAGTATGTATTTCAGAAGTGTGAATATCATAATTAAATGGTTTTCAAGAAGTATTTTTAATAGCAAAAATGCAGCTGACTAGAGTCAACTTCCTACTTTTTGCTAAACTGGCATAGGGAAAATTCTTTTTTTTCCCCCCCCTTCCTCTTGATTTGTTGCTTCATCGCTGTGCGTTTGAGAAAACTACTCCTTGTTATTCTAAAGATTCTATTCAAAAGATAAATTTCCCAAAAACTTTGCTACCATTTCATGACTAGTAACACGCATTTGAGGTTCAACTCTTCACAGTCATTCTTTGAAAAGCAAATTAATAAATTGTAAAGTTCTTTTTAATAAACAGTTTTGCTGTAGGTGGAATAGAACTTGTAGGAGTTACATTGTCAAACTATGTCTATGGTTGGTGTCATACTTAAACTAATCCTAGAACAACTTAGCTGGATCCCTGTAATGTTGTACTTCAAATAGGTATGAGGGTTTGGTTCACACGTTCAGGAAAAAAATAAAGGTATATAATTTTTCATTTGTATAGATATCGTGGCTCTTAATTTAAAAAAAAAAATCAACAAAACAACAAACCATAAAATTAAAGATGCAGCTGTTAAATTACAAATACCAGGTAATACTTCGGAAAACAGACTTCAGCTATGCTTTGCTCAGTGAAACAAAATTCTTAATGGGTGTTTGTATTGTAGTATTAGAATGCAAGTAATGTTTTTTACTGGAAGGCTATGATTTTAATGAATTTGGGCGTAGCAAAGGCTACTGCAGTTTTTGGAAGTCTGTTTTCAGTTTCAGTGCCTTGTAAAACATCCAATTTTAACAGACAACCTGAATGAATTAAAAGAAAAATTGGTATTTAGTGTTAATTATTTCTAAAATTTCTTCTGAATCAAAATTTCTTCAGAGGTTTTCTTTTTTTCTTCAAAAAAAAAAATAATCCAAAGCATTTTTTTTTTAATTTGTGAAACTGTAGCTAGTCTCTGCTTTTCAGGTAAATTTTGTGGAAAGGACAGAATAGACAAGAACAGCCCCTCTCTTCCTAGGAGTGTGTCCTTGTTGCTCAGTAACTGCAAAATTCATTAATATTGACACTAATAGCGAAATGTATTTCACTGCTTATTTTGACAGACACCTCCTGGTGAATGAGCTTGTTCTTTGGCTTCAAACTGAAGTCCTTAAGCAGCTCGCTAAGCCCTGCGTCTTAAACCTTTAAGAAGGGACCCCAGGTTGTGTGTTTGGGGTTTTTTTGTGTGTTTTGTTTTGGCAGATAGAGACTAAAAAGTGTGGAGGGGGTAAGTTGTGTTGTGCGCTGAGGTCCCTTTTATTTCTTAGCCTTTCATATTCTTTATTTGAAAGACAGTGGGCTCGATTCTTAAAGGAAAATGCAAGGAACCGGGTTTAGATTATTCTGCAAAGGGGGTTATCTTCCAGCATCTTCCCTTCTGAAGGGGATGTGTAAATACGCTGTGGGTTGCATCTAGACTCCTGAAACTGCAGCTTTTGAGGTGATTCTCATTGCTAAGTGGCGCAGAATTATGATGCAAATCTGTTCCTTCTGCCTGCACACCTGCCCCTGGTTTAGTGTAACCCCCAAAAATTTATACTGAAGTTTTCTCCCTCCCCCTTTGATAAGAACAGGGTCAGGGAGTTGAACTTCACCGGGTTTGCAGGGGGACACCACTCACTTGTTTGTAATTAAATAGCGTTAAAACACATTTTTAAGATTTTTAGCTTTAAGATGATGTCTCCGTGTTGGATATTAGTGACATACGTGTTAGCTGGTTGCTTAAAGGATTGAATTTTGTGGAAAGAGTGCGAGTGACCAATGCTGTCCCCATGAAATGCAAGAATTTTCTTCATAGTACTGTGGATTCATGATTTTTTAGATGTTGCTCTGCTTCATTTTACTCCTTCCTTAAATTTGTGCGCACTTTTTTTCACTATTCAAGTCTCCACGAATGTGCAAAATATTACAGACTTTGGAAAGTTAAGGTCCTTGCATTCAGAATCTTACAGTTCTTCAAAATAGGTTTAATAAAATGAATTTTGTGCACTTAATTCTTAATTGCGCTCACGGAAGAAAAAAAATCTGAATGCTTTCAGTGAAAATAAAATTAAATACAGTTTTGATCCACCAGCATCTCTTCAAGCCATCTGAACTTGGGTTTCATGTCTTTGTTTTGTTGCTTAATGCTAATTGGGCACTGACTTAGTTCAGTTTTCAGGAAAAAAAAAATACGGAGGCATTTGAACAACCATTCTGTTAATCATTCATCTCTCGTCATTTAAATATTCCTCATTTCATAATCATGCAGAAGTTTAAAAGTAAGCTATTACCTTTCAATAGCTTTTCCGGGCTTCCAAGTGTCATTTGAAGAAGAAGAGAAACCTCAAAATGCAACTCATTTTTAAAATCTATGACTCGTACTGATCAGCGAGTCGTTGGGAGAATTCTCACCAGGAATAGTCAGCTTGGGAAAGGACGGCTCTGAAAAACTGGAGATTGTTTGTAGGGGTTGACATAGTCTTGTGTAAGATATGTAATAGACATGCTTTAGCCTCTGATTTTTTTTTTTCTCCCTGAAATTTTACCAGTCCGGGCACAGAATTTACTCATCCATTTGTATCATTGTGATGGTGAATCAGGAGGAAGCAATCCTTTTCTTGTAAATGTGTTCAGAAAAATGAGTTGCCCCCAGCTATTGAAGGAAATAGTTCGCTCCTGTCCAACAAATCTGTTTTGTTTCTTTCATCTGTGCATTCTCAGAAATTAAGATTAGGAAGATTTTATTCCTTTTCGCCTGGAAAAGGGAGTATCTGTCAAATCGGGAGACTCAGGAAAATAATTTGAGAGATCTGGTTTTTGTACAGTCATTCAGGGAGATATCAGTTTGTAAAACTGTCCGAGTGTACCTGGTGCCTGAAGCGTGTTTTACCAAATCCTCCCTGTACTTAAGTAGTGTAAAGAGCCAAAACTGAAGTGTTGAAGTTTAAGTGACTTTTGAAGTGTTGAAGGCCATAATTCTGTAAAATTCTGGAAAAAAAACCCACTAAATTTCTGTTCTGCTTGAAGTTAAAATGGCGTTTGCCAATGAGGGAAACTCTCCAGTGGCTGGAGTAGGGAAGGTGTCTGGGCATGGGTGAAGCCTTTGGACAGTGCGTGTGTTCCCACCACACCAGCTCAGCTTGGGTTGCTGCTAGGGCTCATTTCTTCTGTATTTGAGTCGTGGGGCTTTTTGAGTGTTGTGACAGTTCCTAAAGCTCCTCGGACCTCCTGCTCACCAGCACGGTTGTTTTTGATGGAAGCGTGGGCAGGCTGCGGTGTTGGCGGAGCCGCCTGCCTGCCCAGCGCCAACACCTTTACGCTGTAGAGGTGGGAGAGGGCTCTGGGTTCCAAAACCGTACCCGTGAGCTTCCCGAGGGTAATGTAAGAACAAGGTGTTCAGTAATGCCCTGTAGCTTTTGTGCGAGTCATCTGCCATAAACCGGGGCATGATTCAGACCAGGGTTCATAGTTCCTTCTTTGTTCCTTTGTTAATCACTGACTGGTGGGAGGCGCCTGCAGAATTTGCTAATGCATTCTTTTTGGGTAAGGATGACGCACAGATTGTCCTAATAAGGACTTAGTTTGAGAAAGGGGCCGTCTTCTTTGAGGAGATAGGGGCAAGTCATAGGGCGAGCAGTTTCTTTTTTAACTGAGGGATGACACAAGCACAAGTCATTTCCTTATTAATCGGTTCAAACCAGTTCTTACAGGAACTGCTGGTGATAAATGTGGGACTTCTGAGAAGTCATTCATTTGATTCTCAGCACTGCCCCAGTGCACAGCCTCGGCTGCCTTCTCCCTGCCGTTAAGGAAATGCTCGGGCTCACAGCTCCTTTCTGCGCTACCAGCAGTGTGTTGTCACTGGTTTGCTCCGAAATGGTGGGGTTTTTTAAAGCGCACTTTTCTGAGGATCTGGGGCAATACGTCCCTTTCAGCAGTATCAGACGAAAGGATGAAATGCACTTTATTTTGTGGTTATCTGTTTTCTGAAGTAGCAGTGCCCTTCTGAGCTGTAGCTCAGTCTGAACTTTGTTCTATTTTGGGTGCAAGTGGTAAGTTTAAAAAAAAAAATTTTTTTGTTGTTTTTTTCCTCCCCTATTTTGTCTTGTTCTCTGGGATGAACGTTGCATCAGTGCTATTCCAAGTATAGGTCCTTCTCTTCAGAAGCCATTTCAAGAATATTTGGAAGCTCAGAGGATAAAACTTCACCACAAACCTGACAGTGGCGTGCCGCAGGTAAGAACCTCTCTGCCTCCCTCAACAGTTAGTTTTCCCTTTCTCTGGCTGTCTTTTGGCTTGGCAGGTTTACCAGTGTAACTCTTGATTCTGTTTTTCAAAGATTTGCAGTGGCCCAGGGAACCGTTAAAAAACCTCCTTGCTTTTGCAACCTGAGAATTAAAAATAATACTGTAATTGTATGCAACTGGACTTAATTTCTTGGGGAATAAAGAAAACATAAGGCCGATGGCACATCTTGCCTCTGTAGTAGCTGTTTGTTTTGAAGAGAAGTTTAAGCAGAAAATTGCGTTTACATGTGAAAGGGTAACAAACTGTGCAGCAGCATTTGTACTCCAGAAGCCAGTAGGATCTGTGGCTTCATGGCCAGGAGAAGCCAAATCCCTGAGCCTTTAGTGTTGCAAAATAAAAATACGGTGTGATAGGAACGGGGAGAAGCGTCCTTTCATTAAAAAAACAACCAGCCAAACAAACAAAAAAGTATTTTTAAAAACATACTCTGCATTTTCAGTGGGGGCAAAGCAACTTTGACATGAAATTCCTTAGGATCCTAAGGCATTTTTGGATTAAATCCGTTCATCTAACTCACGTTTCATGTGTAATACTTGTAGCTCTTGTAAGTATTTCTTTGCCCATTTCTTACCACAAAAGAGACTAAGTTAGGGAGGATCGGTCTGGAATAACTAAATATGCAGATTCCTTTTATGCACGCTGGAGTAGTTCTTGTGCAGTGCGTTGCTGCCCTCCTTTGACAAAAAAAGTCCGAGTTAAGAGTAGCTGTGGCGAACGCTCGAAGTGAGACTGCCGAGGTCATCACCCTGACTTCCAGTGACTCCAGAAGAATCGGATACAATTAGAAGATAACACAGCATGTGGAGTCTAGGAAAAAAGTATTGTTAACCAATGACCTTATTGTTTTCTTTGCAGTGAACGTGACAGGGAATGACAGGCAGGGGTTGCTAATTCTGAACTCCGTGAATTGTTAGCGAAGATGAAACAACACTAGGAATAATAAATCACCTCACTAGTGCACTAGCAATGGTCGAGGATTCCTCCTCTGCCCTGCGGTGTGTTCGGCAAACCCTCCTGCCTTGTCTTTCAAGGGATCAAAGTCAGCTTTGCAGAGGGACCTGCAGGAATCCTGTCAGCTTGCACTTGGTTCCTGTTCGTAATTTGACAACTGTTACAATAATAAAAAATCCCCCAATAGTTAGGCTCTTGCCTTTCACCCAGATAATAGAGAATTCTCCGTTGTGCTTTCCACTAATCCTCATTTTCTTCCTTCTTGTCTTTTGTCTCTTCAGGGGGAAAACTGGCTATCCTGGATGTTTGAAAAATTGGTGATTGTCATGGTTTGTTATTTTATCTTATCTATAATCAACTCCATGGCCCAGAGCTATGCCAAACGACTGCAGCAGAAGATGTACTCTGAAGAGAAAACCAAATGAGCTTGGAAAAAAACCCCTTGGGATGGGTTTTAGCAGACACAAAAAAATGACACATCTTTCCATGTTTAAAAATCAGCATTTATCAAAATGGGGGAAAACTTTTTAACATCAAATTTTCAACTATAACAAGTTTTTATTTAATTTTGAAAGTAATTTGGATATTAGAGCAGATGTTCCATTGACAAATGTTAAGGTAAGGTATAAATGCTTTACAAGGCTGAGTTATACTGTACAGGATGGACAATATGATGTTAAATGGTGTTTAACACAAATGTCGTCCACCCAAATTACTTCCAAAACTGATGATTTAATCTCTCCATTTCCTGATTTAACTTCAGATTGACTGATGAGTAACTTTTTATTTTGAAGGGTGGCTGGTTTTGCTTTTTCCATAACTTTCAAGGCCATCAAAATGTATATAAACGGTATAAACGGATACGGATTGGATACAAACTGTTGCATGTCCCTCATGGTAAGGCTATTCCACCCGAATTCTCCAGTGTCCCATCGCATTGCACGTGCTCTCGGTTGGAAAAGCCACCCTCTTCATCTTCATGGTGTTAGCAGAGATGGTTGATGTCAAAATGCTGAAGCTGACTTTTTTATTCTGTATATTTAGAATGAAGATAAGATAAAACTTTATAAAGTCATCTTTGATCATTCCAGAATTTCTCGTGTCAGTCTTTTTAAGCTGTTTCTTTTTCTCTCTGCTTTTGTATGCTCAGTTCCTTTATTAAGCCTTAATCCCATGAATTGCATGCTTTACTCATCCTTCCTGCACAAATGGTGCTGAAGCCCTTTGTTCTTTTTTTTTTTTTCTTTTTTTTTGCTTCCTGAAGAATTTCTTACTTAGGAGAAGAAAGTAGGAAGGATATCACTTGCTTGAAGTGTGGCTCACTGGCTAAAATAGGCAAGTTAAATAGCTAGAGATATTTGTTAGCGTAAATTCCTCGGAGATGTTTGCCCCCCCCCCCCCCCCACCCCTGGGCGATGAAGGAGAAGAGAGGGGGGAAGAGTAAAGATTCCAGCTGAAAACAGATTTGGTGTCAAACCTAGCAATGATGCAGAGAACTTTAGAGAACCTCAACTTGAGGCTTTTAAAGTGAGAGATTGTTTAAAGCATTGTTATGAATCAGTGTGGGTTCCAGTTCTAACGTACGTGAACATAACGAATATTAAAACGCATCTTCTTCCTCTTTCCTAAGTGGATACGTATTGCACTGCTACTGCATAAATACCACTCCTCTAATGATTTCTGAACTATTGTTTTTTAATTTTATCCTAGGGGTAAGTAACAAAAATTCGACTTCCAATTAGTGTGATCAAAAGGTGGCATCTGAGGAGCGCAAAGTAGGTTAGATCTTGCTCTTCCGTAGGTTTATCCCCACGTTACGTTAGGGCAGATCTCAAGCAAGGTGTGAGGATACATATTTCCTTCAATCCTGCCTGAATGTCCCCTTGTGTTGCCAACCGTCGTGACATCTCCATGGCTGTACCATCCTGTCGGATAGCTTATCAGACTGATGTTGACTGTTGGATCTCATGGCAACAACAGTCGGTAGGCTGTCTGACATTTTGGTATCTTTCATCTGACCGTTTGCTCATCCATCTCCAACTGTTTCCATTGAACATCAAAGCACATGAACGTGGTTTTAAGTTTAGATGGGAACGAGTTCAGAAGCCGTGTGGGGCAGCAGTCTGCGTAGGAAACATCTTTTAAAGTTTCAGCTCAGTTGTGCGTGAGGTTTGTGACCATTTTCTTGTATGCTTCATATATAACTTTAAGTAACATTACTGGATGAACGGGGAGACTTTTACCAGGGACTTCTCTCGGCAGAACTGCTGACTAGGTAAAAGATAAGTATCTCAAAGTCCAAGTGCTGGGAGGTGGTACAAGATAGTTAAAAACACCAAGGCCGTTCATTGGCCTGTGTTGATTTTGACGAGGTGAACAGTGTTTCTTAGATCTTGGCCCTAGCAGCTTTTTCACTTTTTGGCCTAAATACGGTCTTTTAAATAAATTAGCAAAAAACTTGTTCTAGTACCATATGGATTCAAAAAGTCATAGCTCTATTTGGTACTTTACTTTTTTTTTTTTAGTCTACTAAAACTTGAGGTCTGCGCTTTGTAAGAGCTCACAGCAGCAGTTCCTAACTGACCGTTCTGTTTGTCTTCAGGCTACTTGGATAAGGCGAACAGCTGTTTGCTGCTTGCCCCAGTTCTAGTGGCAGCTCTTTCCTCACATCCGCCATTCACCTTAGGGACCCTGGTGTCTACTTCAGGCAGCTCTGGTAGTGTCTTAAAGCCTTTTGTGGGAGTAATTACCTTTATGCCATGTCGAGGATCCTGTATGCTGTCAGTCTGAGATGAGGAGACTGTGTAACAATAATTAAAAAGGAAAAAAACCCCTCTTACTAGACCTTGAGCCAATAAACTTTACCTTTCTAAATGCTTTAATGGTCTCATATTTATGTCTCCTCGCCTACTGAAAATCAACTCGACAAATTGGAAGTTTTCTCCTGCTTTTATCTCAATATATGTTTACATATCTATAGTGCAAAATATATATCTCTGTATTGTTCTGCAGCTCATCTTTGTATGTATCCATCCTAATAAGCTGTGCAGTTATTTTGAAGCTTTCTAACACTACTTAAAGAAGGGATTGGTCGTTCTACTTGCTTCTACCTGTTCAGCTGCTGGGAGATAATGAGACTTGGTAAAAGGTAAAAAAATAATAGAAAGTTATGCAAGCCTAATGAGATTTGCAAATGGATAGTGTTATGTTTGCTTAAATAAACAAACAAATAACCATTTCCCCAGTGTTTATTTCAGCTGGATCGTTTCCATTTCTGTGTATTGAGCTTGTTTCACTGTGAAATTTGTTGTCCCAAGCATTCTACAGTGAGCGTGAATCTAGAAGATACATCTGCAATTGCATTTTGTAGCTTCAAAGAAAGACCTGGAGCATTTAGCATTTCATTTGGAAACATGTATTTTGCTCCATTACTGTGAAGTTTGCTTTCGTGGTACGTCGTTTGTTACACGCTGGAAGCACTCAATCATCTCGTTTAAAGCGTCAGAGAAAAATCCAAAGTGAGCTTTGTTGCAAGAGAAACAATTTTAGCACGGATCAGTGTATTGTTGATGTAAGCAAAGCTAAAAATGTCACACTGGTCTGTGACGGGCCGAGCCAAGAGAGCGGCACAGGCTGTGTCAGATCGGATCCTCCAGTTCCACTTCCCTCAGCTGTATCAGAATCCTGGGGACACCTCCTGCTCCCTGTCCCTGCTTGTAGTTTCTTACCTCTGTCCCAGCGCCACGCTGTGTTTCGTGTTAAAGCAGCTCCCTCTGAAATCACCCAGCTGCCTGCTCGTGCTAAAAGATACTTGTCATTAATACTTGAAGATGGCTTAATGCTGCTCCAGAAAGTCCTTTCCTGCTGTGCTTTAGGGTTTCATTATTTAATTTGCTAGAACCAGCCTCCCTCTCACTGCAGGGAGTGCTAATTGCAAGCACAAATACTGTGGACGTTTCCCTGATTATCAAGCACAAATATAAATATTAGTGAAGAGAATTGATTGCAGGTGTAAAAGCAAGTGGTGATTGGGTGTGTTCCTTGGAGGTAAAAATAATTAAGTTTTCTTTGAAGCACATGGTTAAAAAATACTTTGTAATCAGCAGTTAAAAGGTGGAATGTAATTATATATAAGGTAATTGAAATTGCTCTTCCAAAAAAAGAATTCTAGGGCTTTTCTGTACATTTGCATTTTTTTTTATTATTTTTTGGAGGGGAAGAAAAAAAAGCAGTAAGTAGTTTGCCCAGCCTTCCCCAGATGGCAGCACTAAACGGGGTGTGTAGGTGAGAGAGCAGGAGCTGGGGGGGCTCCTGGAGCTTTGTTGCTGTGCTGCAGCCGCTTCAGGGAACGGGGAGTGAAGCAATCGCCTTCCCCGTGCAACAACACCCTGCGAATGTTCAGAACCAGACTGACGGTAAATATTTGCATATGCTCTTACAAACTCGTTTTTAAAAGGATTATATTGAAAAACTCTGAGGCAGCTGTGTCTTTCCCAATTCAAGTGTTTAATTGAGGGCACAAAATGCTAGCGTTTATTGCTTTATCTGTTTCACCCAGCTTTCGCAAAAGGCAGCAAAACGTAGCAAAACGTTCTTCTGGTCCTGGTGCGAATGGGAGAGACTAACAAACAACCCGGGTCAGCTGTCAGAAGAGTGAAAGGAGCTCATACGCAGAAACTCACCAAATGTTCGAAAGCGGCATCGCCTCCCGGGTACAGGCAAAGGGGCAGAGCCCGGCAATCCGAGATGGGCTTCTCGGCACGTGTCAGGAATCGAGCAAAATGGTGTTTTGGTCAAAAAATCGCTCTGTGCTCTGAATGTAAAAAGAGGCTGTTGAGCTGTGGAGTCAGCCAGCCCGTTCACTGCAGGGGGTGTGCAGTTGTGGTGAAGCAAAGGTGAACCTGTTAGATGGGCCAGGCTTTGTTTCAGTTTGCCTTTAACACTGCCTTTGATTGTGCTAAAGGATTTTTTTTATTATTATCATTCACTCATGGAATGATACAAAGAGCATTGACTGCATTAGCATTAAATCAAAGGTCAACTTTCTTCAAACCTGGTTTGACGAGCTGTTCAGATAGGGCTGGGTAAGTGCGTTGCATCTTCCGTGTTTGAAGGGAGTCACCCACAGCTTAATTGTTCTTCTGGTTTCCCAAGAAGCTTAAATGAGTTGCCCAGGCAGTTGGTAATAAGGAAACTCGCTGCTATTTCCTGATGAAAGGCGAGAGATAGGACTTGTCAGCTCGGAGTATTGTTTGCTGCTCAGATAACTGCCCTGCATGCCGCACCCTTCTCCTGTGGCCACAGAAACTGCCTTTCTGTCCCTGTGCGAAGCGTGAGTCGGTGTCTTCTCTGTGGTGAAGGCCACACTGTTCCTGCTCTGAGGGGACCTGCGAGGAAAGGGCTGTGTGTTTAGTACGTGTGATTCAAGGCATAATCCACCAGTTTGAGAGTTGTTCAGATTTTTTTAATGCTAATGTGACAGAGCAGGTCACACAGGTCTGATTCGGCCTCCTCACGAGGTGGTTGGAAATTGTTTTCTTGTGGCCTTGGGAGGGTGTAATTTTGCTGCTTTTTGCTGTATGGGTTGTTGCACTTGCCTCGAAGGTATCTGGGATCTCAGTAAATGCCGTGAACTCCACTGAAGGGTTTGTTAGCCTGGTTTCACACGAGATTGCGACCGCAGTTATGGTTGATGGCATCAGTCTGCAGGGAGTCACCGATGACTTTCCCCGGGTACCAGCTGAGCTGTGTGACCTTTCTAAGGTTTAAAGCCTTCTTGCTGGAAGGTGGCATCAACCTGGTGGAAGGTGTGAGCCAGAGC